GACTTCGAAAAGCTTTATGGCTTATGGAAACTTACTGTTTAATGTTGTTTTTTTTTCCGGGAAGACTGGCAGGTCAGTTCCTGCTTGCTGCTGAAACTGGGGAAATGCAAGCAGCTTGTGTTTCTGCGTGACTCCTCCACAAAGTGAATCAGGACAACTCCTCAGAGCCATTGAGAGAGAAGATAATCTAAGGGCATTCATTAACTTTTTTAAACAAAATAAAAAAAAAATGGTAATGAGGTTCAGTATATTAAGTATTTATCATGCGTGAGAAGGAAAATAAATCTTGAATTTACATTTATAGGCCTTCCCATGAGCTGGACTTAGTCATGTAGATTGTGTAAGTAGGGTTACCTCCACGCCAGCCGCCCAGCCAGCTACAGCTGTAACCAGAAAGGCATCTGCACTGCTCTGTCCACCTCCGCTTCGCATTGTCACGTGTTAACTAGTTACTTGTTTCCTGAAAAAATAAACTGTGAATATTTTTGGTGCAGGCTTTTTTAAATCTGTAAAATGGAGGAGTTCTCAATGAATTCTCGTAAGTGTGCAGGTTTGAAAAAATCGCTTCTATAAATCGTGTGCTCACGTAGTCAGGTGAGGTTCACGGCGGCAGCCGCCTTTCACGCAGCAGGCTCTTACCCAAAAGCTTGTTTTGAACAGTGAACGCGGATTGAACCCTTGCATGGCATTTCAAACCCACGGCCTTATTCCTTGCATCTGATCATACCCCGCCTCTCTTCTTGTCTCCCTTCATGCCTTTTCCATGAGGATCCAGGTTCCTGGCTCACTGCCTTCCAGCTACGTGCTGGAAAGTTGACTTCGGTGTAACTGGGAGGCTGCTCAGTAAAGTTGGTGTTTGGAAATGTCATTGAAGGAGGAAGGCAGCAAGCTGCTCTTCCCTCCTCGCCCTCGCCTGGGCCCGATCAGGAGGGCTTTTTCTGACATACGCGGGGCTGGCAGAGGCAGTAGCGGTGCTGTTAGGGATGGATGGCTGTGCTGGGTCACCTCAGCACGACGGGCAAGGCCTGACCGGGTGTGAAGATGGGTCCCGGCAGCCCTTCCCTGCCCAGCCTGCCTTCGTCGGCTGTGAGCATGGGCTGGGGAAGAGCTCCGGGCAACGCAACCCTCACGAAAGCAACGTGGGCTTCTTCGGCACTTGGGGTGATGCTGGCTGGTGGTGGCAGCTGGTAGCGCTGCCTTGGAGGAAGAGAGGGTGATGTCTGCACCGAAGTAGCTGGGTTCATTTTCTGCAGTTCATTGCTGCCTTCAGAGTTCAGCCAGTTTGAATCACTGGGGTTTTTTTTTAACGTAGAGGAAAGCGGCTGATAAGACATACCCCGGGCAGGCTGCTCCTGCTGCAGCTCTGCCCTGGCCTCCCTGAGCCCTTGCGCTGCGCTGGAGCTGGCCGAGGAGCTTGGCCAGCCACGCTGTGGCTTCGTGGCCAAGGCCGCAGCGCTTCTCTGCTGTGTTGGCTGCCCCGGCCCCCCCGGGCCCTTTGCCCGCCGCGGGGGCGGGCGGGGGGCCTGGCCCAGCCACGCTGTGGCTTCGTGGCCAAGGCCGCAGCGCTTCTCTGCTGTGTTGGAGGGAGCCGATCACCTGGCCACCATGTCTTGGTCGGGCATAATTGCACCCAGGGTGGGAGAGAGGCAACTCCTGTGTTGATCCGCTGTCGTGGAGAGTTGTAGAAGCAGAATTAAGGGTAGTTGTTATTTCTGCTCAGAGCTGTGCCCCTTTCCTTGCCATTCCAGGGAGACCCACGGGAACTTCCCAGGCTCATGGGTCTGTTCCCGCTTGTAGGAATGGCTCCCCCTTCCCAGTTCTGAAGGGGCTGAAAGATTTGCTCCCATACAAATGCTTTCCCGACCAACGTGCTTGCTGTCAGGACAGCCTGGCCATGCTGGGAGCAGCGGGCTGGGGTCCTGCTGTGGCCTCTGTCCCACGGCAGGACCTACTTCAGTAGCAGCTTTCCGCAGCGGGCAGGAGCGTCCCCGGTTGACCTTTGGGAACAGAGGAGCTCTGGTGAGGGGTAACGGCGTGGTCAGGGACCGGGGTGGGCACCATCTGCCTGCCCAAGCCGGGGAGGAGGAGGAGGAACCGCCGCAGGGCCTGTGGGACGCGTGGGCAGGAGCGCAGCAGGCGCCGGCCACCGTCCTGCGTGGCTCGTCCCCGTCCGCGCCGGCTCGCTGGGCTGGTGCCCGCTGTCACCCAGGGCTGTGGTGAATCTAGCAGAAAAGCAACCGCTCTAAGGGAGAATCCCCTACTGCGCATCTTCAGATACTAACCAGCTCATGGTAGCTTGCTTTATTGCTGTTCTTGAGATAAAACTTTTCCTATTTAACAAAAAAAAAAAAAACCAACCTCGCAAGAACCAGATACACTTCAATGCACAAAGTATCCCGGCGGTACCGTGGGAGCATGCGTTATAATTCAGGGTTAAACCCCCCACAGGCACAGGCTTTGCTTGGAAGGTGTGGCTGGAGTTAAAATTCAGATGAGAGAGATGGTTGAGTCTAAAGGGCAGGAACATACTAAGGTGAGACCGCGCGGGTTGAGGGTGCTAGAAGAGCTTCAGCTCAGTTTCACAGAAAAAAAGAAGAAAAAGAAAGAAGAAGCAGCCCTAACCCTGATGCATCTCTTAACCTGAGCACGCCGTGGATGCCAGCGTTGCGACAGGGCAGGGGGAGTTTGTTGGAGAAACCTCAGACCTTCAACACCTTCCGTTTATTTTTAATTTCAGCCTTAACTTCTGATTTTGCTTGATGTTTGAAATAACCGTAATTGTAACCTGCTTGTAATGTGCTTTGCCCTAAATTACTGATGAGGCTTTCAGCCTTTGCCAGCCAGTGAGTGTTAAAGCAAAGTGGCAAACCTTGCAGCTACTGGGGGGGCCGGCGAGGGCTCGCGCCGTGTTTGATCGCCTGGCCTTCGCCCGCGCTAATTGATCCCCTGTGATAGCGATAATGCCGGTGGCAGCATTTGCAGCCGAGGCTGTGCCTCTTGCAGCAGCACGGCCGGGCTGATGGGTGCTCGGGGCTCCCAGGGCCTGGGAGATGGGATGCTGGAGCTTGGGGACCGCTCCGCCGCTCGCCTGGCTTCAGCGGGAGGCTCGCCTGCGGGGTGGCAGTGCCCCGGCTTAGCAGGAGGTGGGAAAAGGCAAGATTTCTGCTCCAAGTCCTCCGAAAGCGATCTAAGCCAAGTCCGGTGCAGGGAGACAGCGTGCGTGAGCTTGGGCTAGAGAAGTGACGGTGATGGACAGTCCCTACAGCACTGAATCTACCTCCTAGGGAAATCTGAGAAATGGGTGTTGCTATGTCCTATTTCAAGGTAAAGTTTTAATCAGTTTGCCCTTGGCGAAGCACTTGGGCGATTGTGGTGCTATCGTAAACCGTTCGGCAGCTTAGCACAGTAGGGCTGAACTCACGGCTCCTAGCCCGCGGGCTGGAGGTTTCTTCGCCGGCTAAATCCCATCCCCGGATAGCTGGGGCTGGGCTTCGGCACGTGCGACAGAAACGGGACGAGGCGTGACTCTGTTCCTTGGATTTATGATGGTTTCGAGACTCAAACCAGCGTGCCAGTGGGCCCCGTGGGCGTCGGGAGCGAGTGGAGCCACGTGAAGCAAGGCAGGCGTCCGCTAACTGCATGTTCTTTGTGTCCGTTTGGTACTGAGCTGGTTTCAGTTTTTGGTTTTGTTTTGTTTTGTTTTTTTTTTCCTGATGTTTCCGAGTTGTTGACTTCAAGGAACTGGGTTTTGTGTATTTTTTTAGACACTGGGAACTTGTTAAAAGGAAAAGCAGCAGCACCGGGAGGCTCAAGGTGGAGCATGGCTGGAGCTGAGGGCGGCCCCGGCCGATGCGGGTAGGAGGAGGTCAGATGTGTCGGCAGCGGCAGGCAGGGAGCAGGCAGGGAGCGGCTCTCCCTGCAATAGCCAGGAGAAGCCTTTCGGCAGCGGCACTCCCGGCCCTGCTTCGCCGCGGTGCCGAGGTCACTGCCCCGCCAGCCTGCTCACCTCCCAGACACCGCAAGTGT